TACATTTTCATTACCTTTTATGGAATTCGATTTTGCACCTTTCATAGTTCTGATTATAGCAATTTATTACTGATATAATAGTGAACTCTCGAGATACACATACACCTAACAAAAGAATTGCTATTTATTGAAACAAATTCGACAACATAAGGAACAGCGTGAAGTCATCTGCACATCCAAATATCTGGCAGCTCAGGGATCTCCTGACCGGAGTCGTGTTTGGAGGCTACCAGGTCTTAATCACTGTTGGTTTCTTCTTATCTATGTAAGACACTGATATTTTTTGGTATACTCTCATCCTAAGTTTCTTAGTTATGCCAATTCAGAAATCTAACTCTTTTGGGGGATTTATGCAGAACAAGTTTTGGGTAAGACCATTAAGCCAACGTCCTAAACTAATGATGGCTTCTCTATATCTGCAAGTTAGCATCTTAAGTCTCTCATCTTCGTTACCAGATCCTGTGGCTGGTCCTACGTGGCATGCATCAGTCTTCTCTTACTTTGTGCCTCTGTCATAGCTCAACTGGTATATATATATATATATATAACAAGTGTTTCCCCTTGAATTCTTTTCATGAAAACAGTCTCTACACTCTCAGGTGGCGACTTACTCAAGTCTGCAATCCGCTACATGTTGAGTGGCAAAGGTAGATTAAACCGTATTCACAAAAAGGTATCGCTTGATACCACACCACAAAATGGTCGCATGAATCAAGAGCAACCAGTGAAACGAAACTAATTTACACAATTAAGGGACTTGACATTGACACAATTCAGCAATATTACACAGTCTAAGATTGTGAAAGGAAACCAATTTACTTGGGTTACCTTATACCAATGCTTATTAGGATTTTTGGTTGTACTACTGAATTCGTAACTGTTACTGCTTAGTACATATACCTATTTGGTTATGTAAATACTCAAATATGTGTTTTTCCTTCCGCGAGCATGCATATGAAGTGGTGAATCACTAGCAACTTACGATAGAAAGCTATGAGTAATTAAAAACTTGAATGACTCATACGATATTATACTAGATATATTATATATTGTTTCAATAATTTTGATCTATTCACTAAAAAAACAAAAGTGATGAAAGTAGTGAAGAAAAGTAATATTACTTGACGGGATGGTGTAGCTTGGTGGTAAAAACCTTGGAGGCCAATAGTCATGCCCTCGGGTTCGACGCCGCAGGGAGGCGAACTACCCATCCATGTCATAATAATGCGGTATTGGGTGTTGGGTCTTGTCCTCAGCCCAGGTTTAAAGCCCTCCCGGGTGAAAGTGGACCGCTGCCTAACCGGACCCAGAGGAATGATCCACGTAAGTGGGGAACCTCTGGATTATCAAAAAAAAAAAAAAAAGTAATATTACTCTTTGATCAATATAATAATTCCCTTCCAGGTTTGACAAATGTGCTTATCTTGTGTGGCATGCAATCCTTTGTCAAAATCTAAATTAACCACTAATCCTTTGCCAAAATCTAAACTAACCATTGACTGTTATTCTACAAGTTTTGTTCTCATTAAAGAGAAATGTTATGAAAACATAAGAGAAAAAACTACAAGCCAAAGGGTTACAAACTTATTACTCATAGAATTTAAGTATTCTAAAAATATGATAGTTATGAACACTAATCACTAAATGTTTAAACCTATACAGTTGGTTAAAATACATATGATATTCCCTTCTAAATCTACATCTTACTAAAACATATAAATTTCATTTATTTAGTTATTTACAGTATATAAATTATCCATAAAATTTTGGAAGCAAAAAACTTGAAGTTAAAATCAATATAAGATAGCATATTTTCAGTGCAGATATAAAGATGCTCAACACAACATAATAAAAATAAAATAAATAATAATGTGATCAGTGAAGAGTTAATCCAAAATTTATGCCCAAATAATTATAATTTCGTGTTTTAAGAATGTAAAAAACGGTATAGTACCATACTTCTTTGTATGCTTGAGTATATGATAGATATTATAGCGTCATTGAAAAAATAAATATATGAATAAGAATAATGTTGGTCATAAGAATATATGAATTTGTACATTACCTAACTATACACAAAATATTCCAAAACTAATCAACAATGTATTAAAATTCGTTATGGCCACGACACCAGTAAAATGATTATGTTTCAACAAATATATATAAAGTATTCAAAGTTTCAAATTTAAATGAAAAAGAATAGAAAAAATTATATTATACAATATATGAGATTAATAGTGACAGAAAAAAAAAAAGAAATTAACAATAAGTTACATAAATTGTAAGCTTGCTTTACAATATCTAAAAATATATGTTGTAGAATAAAAGTTTTAGCAAATGTTTTTCTAAATTTATTGGAAAATAGACTAAAAATAGTAGAATTTTTTTAGTTAAAACTGGTTAAAGTACAATTAATAAATAGTTATGCAAAAGTAAAACAAGTTCAAATAAAAAAAATCATACATTAATAAAGTTATAATTCAAAATTTACAAACCACGCATAGCAAAAACATTAATGAAAAAAAAATATTATAGAGAAAACTTAAAGTATATATATTGAAAAAATTAAATATAAATTAAAAAAAAAAATCTAAAAATAATATACACTTGGGGGACAACCAATCATCTCTTTTCATGGAGCTGAAAAGCTTAAGTAATTGAAAATATAAAACTGTTGTGGTGACAAACATAATCCCAAAATATACAAAGATATAAATAAATACAAATTTACATGTTAATACATATTGATTAATAAGTCTTATTTTCCTTAGGCTACACGTTTTTAATTTGGTAACACAATAAAAATTATCAAAGACTTCAAAAAAAAAGATAAGAGTCAGATTCAATACATGAATTAGAGTTACACCTCCCTTCTACATATAAGCTCAAAAGTCAGAAGATAATAATCGATGTAACACAACTAACGACAACAACATCCAAATTCCAAACTATCTTTATATTTTAAATTCTTTGGTATTTTAGCATATTAATAAAAGAATTTGATTACGAAACGAAAAATTGTATGTAACATTCAAAAATCATGTCTCCCCTCATATACCATATCCAACAAATATATAGTTTATGTATATATGAGATTCTGAAATATTATATAATTACAAACTACAAAATTAAAGGATAATATTCTGCGCGTAGCGCGCCAAACGATCTAGTAGTTTTTAAGAGTCTCTTTCAAGATAATCTTGTTGTCTCTTTCCTAATTTCTTTAATTTCTTCAATTTCTTATTAAAAAATTAAACATTCTTAAAAATACAATTACAACATACAATAAAATTGAAAAAAAAATTAACATCAATGATTTTGATTTGCCCATAATTAACTTGCAATAATTTCTCTAATGTTTGCCATAAAATTTCCTTGTCCCATTTCAGCTTCTTCCATATCATTTTGTTAAGTCATAGCAGTAGCATTGACAATCTCGGTAGGTGGCACTGTATCAGCAAAATCTTCATCAGAAAAATTTGAAATTCTAATAAAATTATGTAATCCCATTGTCGCTGTCACTACTCTTTTCTGAACATCCACATCATATTTCGGGAAGTCATGAAGAATCCTCAATTTCTTCTTCAAAACTTTAAATGTCTTCTCAATAACAGAACGCAAAGATGCATAATACCGATTAAATAACTCTTGTTTTTTTCTCGGAGGTGGACCACTTTCGAACTGTGACATATGATACCTAACAACCCTATTTTGTGAAGACCTATAAGGAGCCAAAAATCCTTGTTTATTTGGATAGCCAGAATCAACGAGATAGTACTTATCGGCTGTAGGTAAATGAAAATTATGGCTGGAGGTAAATGAAAATTATGGCTGTAGGTAAATGAAAATTAGAATCATTGTCTTGCGCCATTGTGAGAACTGTTGTATCGTGACATGAACCTGGTGCTCCATTCCAAACATATGTAAAGAACATATTCAAATCACATATCGCCATTATATTAAGCGATGTAATATTGTGCCGATTCCAATCCATTCATTGAACTTCAGGCTTCACTTTAACACATACATGAACTCCATCCATAGCTCCAACCAAACAACTAAAATATGTCCAATATCTCTCATCCATTACTAGTCGTTATGGGACCCGTCTTAGTTCTTGTGTTGTTGGATTCTTGATATAGTCACAAGCAAGCAATTCAGTCGCTCGAAGCACTTCAAAAAAATTTTGATTCACTGTCTCTTGCGTTCGTCCAAATTGTAATCCAACATTTCTTTGAACTTTGTTATGTCCAAATATCTCTAGAAACATGGCCACACTCTCTTCAATGCTTACATTTAATGTTGGTTGTAAGCCATAAATCGTTTGCAGTTTTTCACACAATGTGCGAAAAACACAAAAAGGCATTCGTAGTAGTTGAAGACAAGCACCATTATCTTCATGTAATCGATCCCAAATGTTTCTCCATCCCAAACCACCATTAGTTTGAGTCGGTCCTCTTTCAAAATATCGATTGTAATAACTTAAAGATGGTTGAAATATTAACTCTTCAAACTGCTCATTTTCCAAATTCCACAACTCAATTCGCTTCTCATAACTAAGATTTTGAACGCTATATGATCGCAACTGACATATACGAAATGCCTGCAATTTTATAAACACGAGATAAGATTTAAATAAAAATTTAACGACTTAGTAAATATTAAACCAAAATTTTAGGCATAAGTTATAACTTAAATGAAATTGAGGAATAATTCATAATACTTAATTGATATTATAAAAGCATAAAGTGGAACATAACATAATTGCTAATAAAACAACAAAACCCACTAAACTAATCTTCATCTTCAGATTCATTTTGTGACTTTCATTTAAATTTGGTCCTTTTTTATTTCCCCAAATATTGAATAATCATCCTCTTCTGCGTGTTCTTGGTATTTGCGCTCCTGAAAACTAATTTGTAAAACCGAATTCTGGTGATACGCTCCTATAAATGTTGGCTGAGGTGCGACCGTCTACTTCTAGTGAATCTCTATGTTGCTCATTCATAGTTTTTTCTACTTCTGGTTCCACTGAAAATGCATGCTAAACATTTGAAGGTGTACCCCACATATATGAACCCTTTTGTTGAGTATTTGGAGGTGTGCCCCATTGTGGAACATTTGATGATGAATCCCATTGCTGAACATTTGGAGATGTACCCCATTGTGGAACATTTGATGATGAACCCCACTGATGAAAATTTGGAAGTGTACCACATTGTGGGGAATTGGATGATGAACACCATTGCTGAGCATTTGGAGGTGTACCCCATTGTTGAACATTTGATGATGAACCCCATTGTTGAGCATTTGGAGATGTACCCCATTGTGAAACATATGATGATGAACCCCATTGTTGAATATTTGGAGGTGTACACCATTGTTGAGAACCGTGGCCCCATGGTCCACCTGAATTTTGACCCCATGAATTATTACCACTGGAAGATGGGCTACCAGAAAAACGACCACTTAAATTTGGACTTCCAGAATTTTGACCCGAGGCTAACCGCTTTCCAACATACTCGTTGTCTCGTGTATATCTAGTTAGAGCTTGCAAAAACTGAAACTTATCTTCAATACTGTTGTCAGCTCTATCAATAAAATACTTTCGCCAAAATTTGTCATCTTTGAAGGCTTGAATGCATGCCCAATAAAAGTCAGTGTTTTTTTGCAACTTCCAATGATTCTAAGATCTTGATCACCATGTCGCACTCGTCATAGTTATCTTGATCAAAAAAATCTGGACGCAGTTATTGTAAACTTTGGCGTTGAAACTCTCTAAAACCATCAATCGTATCTGTTAGTGTTGTCTGAAATGATTTTTTTATGACTACCTCGTTAGCTGGTCTTTGTAGAGGTTTGTGAACTTCCAACAACTCTATTTCCAGCACTTTCACGTCTTATTCTTCTTTTGTTGACCTCCGGAAGCATGATTCTGAAATGAAAGCTCTGTTGGAGAACCTTCACGCATGCGTTCACGACTAAACTCATTGGAAAGTCGTATTTGGTCGTTAACGTCAACACGATACACCTCTTCCCTTTCTTGTGTCTCTGGAACTTGAGTTTGTGGTATATCATCACCAAATGTTTCTGAATTCAGATAACCTTCATCATTAACTAACTCCTCGTTCATAATCTCTTCTCTTCTTTGGCTCACAGAGTATTAAGACTGCGAACGGACGTCATATAATTTGAAACACCGTTGTATGATATCCCAAAACTCTGGTGATTTTCGCTTAGATGATTTTATAATCCTACAAACCTATCAAAAAATTTTAAAGTTATGTGTTATAAAAAACTATTTTGAAAATTACTTAACATATTATAGATTGGTAAAGATTTAAATTACTTACTTCACGATCTTTCCACCATGAATCAGATGCAGATATTACAGATATAACAGGATCAACTGAGATACCCGTAGAGTTTTGCATATGACTCGTACACTTCTTGTACTTTCTTTTCATTTGATCAAGTTTAAACTCTTGGTTGAACTTGTCAACTATAAACTCTTTACCAAGTGGTAACGCGTCTTTTAGACGATATTTATTCATAGTAAATGCTTGGTCGTATAACTCAATAAATTTTCTTTCTCGTCTATGATCCCATTTCAAATATTCTTCACTCTAGAAAATTCAAAAAGTGATAATGTATTATTCAACTAATTTATAACAAAACTAAAAATTTAAGTATGATAATAAATATCTTACCCGCACTGATGTTTCTGTGCTAAGAGTATTAAAATTCACTTTTTATCCACGGTTAGACGTCAAATCTACAAATTTGAAAAATGATATTAGTTTTCTTATATAAACATTCTTAATTCTAAACTATTATGTTGTTTATAGGAATAATTAGAAAACTGATTTTAATGAGTTCTAATATAAAAAAATAATTTGAATTAAATACAAGATAAAATGATAGTTATGTTGTAATATATTAGTAGAAAATAAGTATGTTTTAACATAATATTATTCATCATAAATTTCAAGTTCTGTATACATATTAAAATTCTTATAATTGAGTCTATAAATTAATTATTACCATAAAATAGATGGAACTATATATATATATATATATATATAATTGAGTCTAGAAATTAACTGTTACATATTTTAATGAATATAGATATAGAAAACAAACTGAAAAAAATAAAACAATTGCTAACTATATTTTTATATATTTTAAACATAAAATATATGGAACTATATATATATATAAAAGAAAGCATATGATATCTTGAGTCCGTAACTAACAAAGAGATAAATTATAGTTTTAGCAAATTCATCGTATTTTTCCCAAAAATAGATTTAAATTTGAAGAAATATTTTAAGATATTATGTTTAGTGTAACTTCGTTGTTGTAAAAGCATATAGTAGGTTTGATTTTTTTGTCCATTTAAGTAACCGGTTAAGATATATATAAATGTTATTTGTTTGATTATCTAATGTATATGTGTAGAAAACAAAAAAAAATGGATTAAAATATGAAATTATAATCAGTGGTTGCAGAAGAAACAAAAAAATATTTATGTAATAAAATACATTTTAAATTATTAGGCCAAAATAATCTCAGTACCATTAAATAAGGTAGGTCAAAAGCTAACTACTAAAAACAAAAACTAATTGAACACAAGATTAAAATGCATGCATGTGTTATATAACACTTAAAATGCAAAATATATATTTATTATTTCGTTTTTCAATATTAATTAACTATAAATATAATCATAAGCTAATTACTAAAAATAAAACAAAAACTAATTAAACACAATATTAAAATGCATGCACGTGTTAATTAATATTTAAAATGAAAAAAATATTTATTAATTTTTCAATATTAATTAACTAAAAAATGATCATAAGCTAACAACTAAAAATAAAATAAAAACTAATTAAACACAAGAGTACAATGCATGCATATATTATATAGTTTTTAAAATGAAAATAAATTATTTATTATTTCGTTTTTCAATATTAATTAACTATTCATAAGCTAACTACTAAAAATAAAATGCATGCATTTGTTAATAAATATTTAAAATGAAAAAAATATTTATTATTTCGTTTTTTCACTATTAGTTAACTACAAAAATAATCATAAGCTCACAACTAAAAATAAAACAAAAACTAATTAGACACAAGATTAAAATGCATGCCTATGTTATATAATTTTTAAATTAAAAAAAAAATATTTATTATTTCGTTTTTCAATATTATTTAACTATTAAGAAGCTAACTACTAAAAATAAAACAAAAAACCATTTAAACACAAGATTAAAATGCATGCATATGTTATATAATTTTGAAAATGAAAACAAAATACTTATTATTTCGTTTTTTCAATATCAGTTAACTATAAATATAATCATAAGCTAACTACTAAAAATAAAACAAAAACTAATTAAACACAAGATTAAAATGTATACATGTGTTAATTAAAATTTTCATGATTTATTGAAGAAGCAAAATAAAAATGTACCTTGATTTTTTATTGCTTTAGTGGATGTAAATGTAAGAGCCAACCTGAAAATATAAAAAGAATATCAGTTAAACATAATATAAAAATTCAGCATAAATTTCATACAAAATGAAAAAAAAAACTTACTACTAGAGAAGATTGTATGATCTGTGAAAGAAGAGAATGAATGTATGTTATATTTATAGGCTAAAGAAGAAATAAGAGAAAAAGAAAAAAATAATTTAAAAGTGACATACATTGGTCCATTGTATACGAACCAACTTTTTTCTCTAGTTTTTGCAGAACTCTTTTTTAACATGAATTTCCTCCTGCATGCGGTACTTTTTATTTTTTATTATTATTTATTCTTCTGCATTTTTTATCTTAATTGGGTATTAATTACAGATGGTTCTGCATGTCTTTCTTTCCTGCATGTCTCATGTATTTGTCTTGACATTCATTCAAAGCTTTTGGCTTCGAACGGACAATGCAGATAAAAAATACAGATCGCACAGAAATACAGATCAAGTAGAACAAATGGAGATCATGCAGAACAAATGCAGATCAAACTAGTTAGATTAATTTATCAAAATAAAATATTTATGATAGAAAGTAAAAATATTATTAATTTAAATATCTAAAATAAAAATTCTTATATATAATAGTAATTATTATTACTTAATAATTACCAAAAAAATTAAACATTCTTAAAAATACAATTACAACATACAATAAAATTGAAAAAAAATTAACATCAATGATTTTGGTTTGCCCATAATGAACTTGCAATAGTTTCTCTAATGTTTGCCATAAAATTTCCTTGTCTCATTTCAGCTTATTCCATATCATTTTGTTTAGTCATAGCAGTAGCACAGACAATCTCAATAGGTGGCACTGTATCAGCAAAATCTTCATCAGAAAAATTTGAAATTTTAATAAAATTATGTAATCCCATTATCGCTGCACCACTCTTTTCTGAACATCCATATCATATGTCGGGAAGTCACAAAAAATCCTCCATTTCTTCTTCCAAACTCCAAATGTCCTCTCAATAACAGAACGCAAAGATTCATGACACCGATTAATTAACTCTTGTTTGTTTCTCGGAGGTGGACCACTTTTGAACTGTGACATATGATACCTAACAACCCCATTTCGTGAAGACCTATAGGGAGCCAAAAAAGCCTTGTTTATTTGGATAGCCAGAGTCAACGAGACAGTACTTATCGGCTGGAGGTAAAGGAAAAATTAGAATTATTGTCTTGTGTCAATGTGAGAACTGTTGTATCGTGACATGAACCTGGTTCTCCATTCCAAACATATGTAAACAACATATTCAAATCACATATCGCCATTATATTAAACGATTTAATATTGTGCCGATTCCAATACATTCCTTGAACTTCAGGTTTCACTTTAACACATACATGAACTCCAGCCATAGCTCCAAGAAAACCACTAAAATATGGCCAATATCTCTCATTCATTACTAGTCGTTCTGGGACCCGTCTTAGTTCTTATGTTGTTGGAGTCTTGATATAGTCACAAGCAAGCAACTCAGTCGCTCGAAGCACTTCAAAAAATTTCTGATTCACTGTCTCGTGCGTTTGTACAAATTGTAATCCAACATTTCTCTGAACTTCGTTATGTGCACATATCTTTAGAAACATGGCCACTCTCTTCAATACTTACATTTAATGTTGGTTGTAAGTCATAGGTCATTTGCAGTTTTTCACACAATGTGCGAAAAACACAAAAAAACATTCGTAATAGTTGAAGACAAGCACCATTATCTTTCTGTAATCGATCCCAGATGTTTCTCCATCCCAAACCACCATTAGTTTGAGTCGTTCCTCTTTCAAAATATCGATTGTAATAACTTAAAGATGGTTGAACTATTAACTCTTAAAAATGCTCATTT